TCCCACTAGCCACAGTTCGCCACTGCAGGCCAATGGGAGCTGCTGGAAACGGCGGCCAGTAAGTCCCTCAGCCCGCGTCGCTTCCAGCAGCTCCCATTGGCCTGCAGTGGCGAACTGTGGCTAGTGGGAGCCGCGATCGGCCAGACCTGCGGACAGGACAGGTAAACAAACCGGCTCGGCCCGCCAGGGGCTTTCCCTACACAAGCGGTGACCCCAGTTTGAGAAACACTGGTATAGTGAAATGAAGAGTTGCTGTCTGGGATATTGATTTATCACATGAACGCATTTGTGTGATCAAATCACAAGCTCAGGATTTGTCTTTTTGTTGTTGTTTCATGTTAGTATTAAATGTTAAGCTGAGCAGCATAAAATCATGCTATTGGTAGTGAATGGTATTCATGCACATGATGATGATGGAAAGAGAACTTTAGCATGAAGATTACTTTGTCTTGACTAGTGGTGTGTTTTTTTTGTTTTGTTTTGTTTTGTTTCCCCCTGGGGTTGAGTTCATAGGAAGAGGTTAAGTGAGTAACTAGCGAGTTATCATTACCAGCTGTCCTTGGTAATTTACAACATTCTGGGCATTAGGTGGCCTGGCATCTCAATGAGTGGCACATTATGACCCTAATTTAGCAACCACCTATGGCTTTATGCCCCCCTGGACATCAAGAGAGATTATTCTAAAAAATGAAAGAGCAGAAAAGGGGATTGATTTCTTTAAAGGGAGGAGTTAACATTTAACACAGAATTCTAGAATGACAGATGAGTCAGATACTCAGCCTTTTTGAACAATTCCTTCTCCCCACTCAGTGCTTTTAAATGGCCGGGAAAGAATGTTGGAGAACCCACACTGATGTCTGGGGTGTCCCTAGAACACATTTAGTAAATGGAATAATGAAATCTATTAGGCTGATGGATTGAAAAGGCTAAACTTAGAGGAGCCCAACCAAAACTGAAAAACAAGTCTTTTTTTTTTTTTTCCTTCCCCTCGTTGAGGGCTGGGTGATAAGAAAGGATGGTTACAATTGTGAATTACTTTGACTTTTCCTTACTTCAGGCTGAACATAGTCTTATAAATATTTTAATGTTCTTTGGTTTCTTTCAGAATATGCCAAAAGAAATGTTTGGATCAGAGGGTGTCCTCAGCTGTTTATGATCATAGATTATTAGAATGAATGTATAAATTTGAGAATTAACTTACTTTGCACCCCTATAACTACAAAAAAATTAGATTTATCCTTTTACTTTCTACAGCTATAGTTATATTGTGTGGCCTTAATTAAATTGTGTTCCATTTTCAGAATGTCTTTTGAGTTCACATGGCATAAATCATCTGTGTTTGGTTCAACTTTTTCTAATAAAGTCTGTTATAGGGGCCATCTATCCCAATACTTGAATTAGAGTTGTCTTTGAAAAAATGATGTTTATAATACATCTGTGCTTTCCACTAATAATATAGCTTTTTGGGGTAGCTGAGTAGTGTAATGGAATTGAGCTCCACCTATTAAAAAAGGAGGCAACAAAAAATACTCCTTTCGGAGACTATTAGAAAGGCAGACTAATTGACGAGAACAGAAGTAGCTCTCTTGCAGTGTCTGGAACTTTGCCCTGCAGACTCTTGTAAATCAATTAGCTTATAATAGAGATGACATGTGGTTGCTTTACAACTCTTGACCTGGTTTCAGAGTAACTCTTGACCTGTTGATGGTCTTGTGACTTTCTTGCTCAGGGGTGTGAAAAAACACCCCCCTGAGCGCAGCGAGTTGCAGCATTGTAAAGTGCCAGTATAGACAGTGCACGTGTGCTGGGAGCTACCTCATTGAGGTGGGGTTTTTTTAGACCACTGGGAGAGCTCTCTCCCAACACTGCGCGGCGACCACACAAGGCACGTTAAAGCACTGCCGCAGCAACGCTTTAGCATTGCCAGTGTAGACTAGCCCTTGGGCTTGGTCTACACAGTGGAGTTGGATTGACATAGGCTGCCTTATGTCGACCTAGGAGCATGCACAAGGAGGGGCAAGTCGGGACGTG